GTGGGTGGTTGGAGGGTGCCACTGGTAGGTCCTACTCTTTTAACTTTCCCTCTGTTGTTTCTCTCTCTCTGCGTGGGTGGTTGGAGGCTGCCACTGGTAGGTCCTACTCTCTTAACTTTCCCTCTGTTGTTTCTCTCTCTCTGCGTGGGTTGTTGGAGGGTGCCACTGGTAGATCCTACTTCTTTACTTTCCCCTCTGTTATTTATGTCTTTGTGTCGGTCTCACTTTTTCTCAGCACTACGATGTACTACTCTTTACTCAAACAAACAAACAAACGACTTCAATCTGTTGCATAATTTACAGACTTGAATGATCTCAGACTGGGCACTGTCATATCTGCCATGCTTTGCTCTCTATAAAAACTTGGCTGCACCGGTGCACACAATGGGTGTGCAAAAAATATTATATCTGGCAAAACGCAAAGCAGTCTTGCTGTTGTCAAAGATCGTACATAACAAGACAGTTCACTCCTCTCTTTGAGCTAATTAAAAAAACTGCGCTCTCGATAATCCAGTGGCGCCCTCTTTGAAAAAGCGCGGACTTTGTGAACATATACTCCCCGAACCCACTCTATCTATCCTCGCTAACTCCCTCTTTCCCTCATTTCCCTCCCCCCCTCCACCTTCACCCCTCTCTCTTCCACTCTCCCACCCCCCCCAATCCTCTTCCCACCCACCCACCCCTCTCTCTCTCTCTCTCTCTCTCTCTCTCTCTCTCTCTCTCTCTCTCCCTCTTATGAATTTAGGCCTATTGTCATATATATATGGATAGGAAGAACATGGATGGGTCAAGTGAAAAACAGGGAAGTAATCATTAATCCTACCACGACTAAGCCTATTTTAAACATTTCCCTAAAGGACGTCTTACCTTGATCTTAACCTGATTTGTTGTTATAAAATGCAGATTGAGAATGACTTAGCTGGTTTTTCACAGGATTGATTTCCTATGGAAATTCTGCAGGTACTCTTGTAAGTTAAAGGTAGCATCCTGATTTGTTTTTCTGATAGGAATGGACCTAATACGTGAGACAGCGTGGTGGAATCAGGCTCTCGTCAAAATAATCAAAGTGAAGAAACTTCCATTTTTCCGCAGGTTTGTGAATTTTTATCAATTTTTTTTTGGGCTCAATACCTTTCATGCCTATTAAAGAACTCATTTCTGTGTGGATTTTTTCTGAAAAACGTTGATTAAAGGCATAAAAAAATGTAAATTTCCAATTACCACGGACTCTTAAGATAAGGAAATAACTAATCTTTGGCGACCATTTTCTCACTAATTTTACCTCTGCAAACAGGTGACCCCACCTCCTTCATTCGCAAATATCTCGACTGGGATTCAAGATAAACGGATATTTTTTTTCATCCAAAAAAGGACAAGTGAACAAGCTTTAAGATGGTACCAATAACTCTAAACGGCCAGAAATAGACGAGAGCCTGATTCCACCACGCTGCCTCACATATTATTATGTCCCATTTTTCCCCTTTCTCCTTTTCATGCTTCTGTCTGTACTGTTTGAGCCACGTAAAGTTCTAGAATTTTCGCTAGCTGACAGTCTCAAGTCTCGACGTTTAGGTGACAATGTTCACACATAGTATTGGTTTGTAGAGAATAAAAGCGTATTGTATTGGGTAGATGTTTTACGGCACTATCAACACAATTTGGTCGAGAATAAAAGCGTTTGGAACGAAATGGATCTTCTTTGAATATATTGAGTGCAGGAGTTGATTGAAAAAAAAAAGAATTCGATAGGCCTGTCTATTTATGTGCAAGTGAACAAATTATGATGATATTTCTTCTCTAACAAAGAATCTATAATAATAATATATGTGCAGGTGAGGAAATCATGATGATATTTTTCTCTACCAAAGAATCAATATTATATCTACACTGATACTGATCGTCCTCACTCTCTCTGTTTTCCACTATCCAAACACGGAAGAATAAATACAAGGCTAAATGAAAAAGCAAAGTGCAAAACTCAAGCAACACACACTGTGAACACACAGATCAGCTGTAACATATTTACCTTTTCACTGGGCCACACAGTCTAATAATAACGTGTTGAGGAAGAAGAAAAAAAAACACACCACAAAAACAACATTTATTTACGTAGGAAAATAGTTCACCTTACTTATCTTAAAGGAATTCTGATGATATTTCCCTCTATCCCACACGTACCCCTTCAGTCTCTCTCTCTCTCTCTCTCTCTCTCTCTCTC